TATAAAAATATGTTAAATGTATTTATAAAATAAATAAATGTTAAATATTTAATGTTTAATGAATAATTTAATTTGATTATAGTTTTAGGATTCCATAACTCTGTTAAATCCTTAGAACTCTCTCACTGAACTCTTTATTGTTTCTACCAAATGCCTTAAGCATTCTCTAAGTGCTAATAAAGGTTCAGGATAGTCCCAGGTCTATGTTTGAATGATCATATTTCATCACATTTAATATAGTCACCCTGACCATATTCCCATTCCTTAATATTTACCTTTTAATTTCCAATTGATTTACTGATTGCGCCAATACTGTCATTCTTACATTCATAAAATCAATTTAAGAAATTTTTCAAGAAAGGTGAATTTTTCTTATATTGCATTCCATTCCTATCTATCAGGCTCTGTCTAATGTTAAACAAATAGAGGGTTCTGGCAAATCTTTTCAACTACTTTTAATTGTATTCTCTATCAAATTCTCTTTATGCTTTATTCTTTGCCAAACTGAAATTCCACTATATACTTATCTATTATTATTGCGTTTTCTTAAAGGTATCTTGAATCTAAATTATTTAAAACAATTAAATTTACATAATTCTCCTACAATTATTATTACCTAAAATTATTAGGAATCAATAATTATCTATTTACATCTAATTTATTAGTTTAATAATTTTGAATTAAATTTACTAAAGATTCTAAGAATAAAAATTAAAAAAGTTTATTATTTTCAAGAAGAAGTAGAAAAAGGATGTAAATAACATGGCAATATATTAGTAAAGATATTTTCTTAATTAATTAAATGATATTAAACGAAATTTAAATTTAGATTATACATCCAAATCTTTCGATAGTTATTTTTTAAAAGTCAAACTGTTTGAACTAATCTAAATATTGAAAGTCTACAGTGTATAATCTCATAAAATATTGATAGGTATAATATATTTCAATCATCAGTTCATAATAAATTAATTTTAATAGTTTTACAACAACCATCAATATTTTTAAATAATGAATAACCATTAGAGCAAGTAACTTAGAAATAAACTAAAGATAACAATACTAATTATAATGAAATAAATATGATTAATATCACTGATTTCTAGAGAAAAATTAATAAATAAAAATATTATGAGACATTTTTTACTTAAAAAGTTGAATGTATGTAAAGTGAGAATCTAATTGAATGTATATAAATAAAGTAGATGAAATTTTTAGAAAATAAAAAATAAATTTAATTTATATATATTTATTGATAGAGTGCTAATTAGGAATTATAATATTTGGCATTTACTGTACCATCTATTTTATATCAGTATGAGTAAGGAATATTAAATCTCATTATCAAACTGAGAAAGCCTGGAGATAAATATGGAATGATGAGAAATAAGAATTAAATGAGGTGATTCACCATATTAAAAATTAGATTATAATTCTCTATATTCATAATTTTCTTTTAAATCCATATATCCTTTAAGATTATTAGAAACTACAAGTATAATTAAATTTTTAAATATATAAGATAAATTTCTGAGAATTAAATCTATGTTATTTATTATTATATTTAATAAAAGAAAGATTATTGATATTTTTTCGTTTTATATCAACTAAAAATAAGATTATCTTTTTTAGATATTTTCCCTAAAGAATATATCGAAAATTCTGATATGATTACAAAGTATACTTAATATAATTTAAAATAAGGATGTATTGTTGATAAAATTCATTAAAAATGTGTGTTTGTTCTTGTTGAAATTTACTACAATGTTAAGGACCATAATCTTATTAGAATGATGAACATTCAAAGAAGAATATAGTGGATGCGTTCTCATAACAACTTTTTAGATGCTCTATTGAATTAACATGTGTTATAGATTCATAAATAATAACCGCCTTAAACAAATATTTTATAGAGAGTATTTGTCCACTTTATAAATATGGATGTACAGCTAATTATTCAGGTGGTTATATTTAAAAAGAAAGTTGTAAGCTGCAAAAATTTAGACAACATGGAATTAAATATTTTAATGATTCTTAATCAAATCAAGCTTTTATAAACTTAAATGTTGATTCTTATACAATAGTTATAAATAATCTAAATTACTTCAAAATAGCTTAATAAAGAATGTTTTGATATTACTAAGTAATAAAGTATAGAGTTATCTCCAAGCTTGAAAACTTTTGAATCTTAAATAATAATCAAAATAGTTTATTTTTTTATTATTTTCTTAATAATACAATCATAACTAAATAAAAAAAAACACTAAATGGAATTTCAAATCAAAAAAATTTGTTAAGAGCCATTCATTTGGTAAGAAGTCACTTAAGAATTAGAAGCTTATGAAAAATTTCGAAAGATTAAAATATAAATCATATTTACTAAAGAAAACAAAATTATATATAAGAGGAATGAAAAAATTTTGAGAACGTAAAATTGACAATTAACGCAAAAAGTGAATTAGTCTCAGATATTTTCAAGTATCCAGAAATACTGACAAGCATGGAATAAATCTTGCATCTTCAGTGGCAAGGCAAATACGGACTAGACAATAAAAAATACGGTAAATGGAGAGTATCATGGCAAAGTAATGTAATTAAAGAAGTTGGTGGATACTATTTGAACGGATTAAAGTAAGGTTTATGGAAAGAGCTATATAAAAATTATTAAACGTAAAATATCCTAATTTCTAATAATAAGTAGTGATGCTAAAGTATTTGAATTTGGAGAATATTATAATGATTTAAAAAGAAGTAAGTGGAATTATATTTATAAAAATAAAAAGATGTAATCATTTTTAATAATTAATTAGTGGAGGTGGATTGCAAAATATAGAAGGATTAAAGAAAGGAAAATGGACTGAGTTGAGCGAAAATTTTTGTTACGATTCTCAAGTTATTTATAATGGTGAATATAATAAAAAGGGCATGAAGGTAGGTATATGGGATATTATGTATTGTGTAGTCGAAGAGAATCAATATAAATAAATGTAAATAGTATTATTATAGACATGTTAGCGGTGGCGGATTATATCATTGCTCTTTAGGAATTAAGATTGGGAAATGGGTAGAGTTGTGGGATAGTTTCTATTTATATTCTTAAGCATGCTATAAAGGTCATTATAATATGAAGGGTATGAAGGTGGGTAGATGGGATATTATGTTTTGTGATAATTATGAGAAGGAATATTAGTAAATGTAAATATTAGAAGATCTATATATATAGTGGCGGTGGATCATATGATGATTCTTTTGGAAGCAAAATTGGGTAGTGGGTAGAATTAGATGAAGGATTTTATGCCGATAAATAAGTAACTTATGATGGTAAGTATAATCTGAATGGTATTAAGGTAGGAAATTGGATTACTAAATATTGCAAATTCCATGAAAAAGAATATAAATAAATGTAAATACTATATATATAGATTTATTAGTGGTGGTGGATCTTATGATAGTTTTTAAGGATTTAAGATCGGAAGGTGGATTGAGTTGGATCAAGGATTTTATGAGGGTAAATAAATCACTTACAATGGCGAATATAATATTAATGGTATCAAGGTAGGTAGATGGGATATTATGCTTTGTCATAAATATGGGAAGGAATATTAATAAATGTATAAGTAGTTCTATATTAGTGGTGGTGGATAATATGATAATTATTCTGGCAGGAAGATTGGATAGTGGGTAGAATTAGATGAAGAGCTTTAAGGTTGGAATTATATTACTTATAGTGGTAAATATAATATGAATGGAAAGAAAGTTGGTAAATGGAGGAAAATTGATTTAAGAAGCAATAATAATTTTGGAAAATATGAAATTTGAATAGTATTACCTAAATATTAATTTTAAATTATTATGCTTTGAGTCTTTTTATTTTTCTGAGCTGTAAGATTAATATTTATATCAATTTATTTAATATCTTAAGATAATTAAAATCTTAAAAAATAATGATTTTCTTTTAGATTTATTATAAATTTAGGTTTTTTATTCTAAAAGATCTAAAATTAGAGCGATTAAGAAAGAAGAATATGATTGAAGATTCAATTGATATCTAAACAATTAATTTTCGTAAGTTCCTTTTTGGCATAACATGAAAATTACATCGTCTATATTAATTAAAACATGATATGTTTTTCTTATATCGATCTTTGCTGTTTCAGTGACCAAAAGCTGAAAGATTTTCTAAAATTCTATTGATTTATAGCATAATTTAATGCAGACATATAGTTGAAAATCTATCGATGAATAGATTTATTTTCCAATTATAAGACATTACTAATAATCATTCAATTTCTTATTAGATCAAATAGATTGTAATAATTTTTTAGTTATCACTTGTCATTTTGGAAATCAATCATTATAGAAATAATTTAGCTTTTGTAATCAAATTTTACAGCAATTTATGCTTTTAAATTAAACTAACCATTTCTACTCAGTTTCTGAGTCATGAAGCAAAAAGTTTACAGAGTTGATACTATCAAATTTATTAGATTATATATTAAGTAGAAATTGAAAAATCAAATATTAATAAGAATCAGAAATAAAAATAATTATTATAATTAGTCTTCAAGCTAGTTTCATAAGTATACTTAAATAATATTTGATATTAGTCAAGGAGAGAGATTAGATGAAAATTATATTAATACTCAATCCTCAATATGAATTAATTAGCACATTGAACTTCATCTAAGAATAAATTATAAATTAATATATTTTTTTGATAAGGTATATGTACCAAGCCGTAAAAAATCTTTTTAGATCCATTAACCCAAAAAAAATACCATAATCTTGTATATTTTGAGGAAATCCATCAATAAATAGACTTTATCCAATAAATTAATGGCAACAAGATTTTTTCAAATAACAAAAAAGACGAATTAAATGAACTATTTTTCTATAATCTATGTCATATTCGATAGTACTTTATGCTTTGAATTACTAATAATATGACGAAATTTAAGTCTCAATAATCATTCTGCAGACAGGGTGAACATAATTTTAATTTTGTTAGCAATAACACGTTAAGTACCTTTTCCTCATCCCTAAATTTCAAAGATATTTTATTTACCTTCCAAAATAAAATACACAAATAGTTTTCTTAATGTTGAATATTTGGTCATATTTTGGCCAAAAATATAATTAAATTAGTATAACTTGTATAGAAATATGAATACTTATTCATTAATAATAATAAATCATTTAGATTTATCTACACAAAAACATTTACAGATCATTTTAACTTTCTGTGATTTTTGCATTTATTCAAGTGTCAATTTAGATATCTTGCCTATCCATAAAATGAGGAGACCAAGGTTTGAAAGAATGTAAAGGAGTGGGAACGCTATAAAAAAGGCAATAATGATCAAATTTTATTGGATAGTGGAATAATTAAATTTTTGTATTCTTTTTAGCATCAATTTTACAATTAAGATAAAAGCAAAGCAAGGAATCATAATTATTAAAAATGAAAATAAAAAGCAAGGTATTCCAAATTATTCATCCTTATTTAATTGACAGTTTTCACATAGTTTATTTTGAGAAAATAAATCTAATTGGTTTTAACAATTTATGCAATATTATGTATTGCACAAACAGCAAATCTTAGATTCCTTATTAGTATTATTATTGTAGATTTAGCACTTCTAACATAAGAATCCCTGATGCATGAATAGCCAACAATGTTTACATATGTCATTCTCCAGAATGTAGCAAATATAATTTTCAGACAATGAAACCTATTAGATTTAGTGTTAATCAATTTTTTTCATTAAACTTTAATAATATTTGTGGATAGTTTTGTCAACAAAGTGCTTCGGGAAGGACAAAAGACCTTTAATTTTGTATTTATGAGTTTTATTGCATATTCTACAATGCCTAATTTGAGACATCAATCAATCTAATAATATTATTTAAATAAAATATCTTAATAATATAGATAAATATAATAATCAGCAGGTTTTTCATAAATTCTGTATATAAATCGATAATTCATAATAATGAGAATAATTTATAGAATGGATGAAAGGTATTTAATTTAAACCCTTCCTTAATGCTATCATAAAATTTAAGTATTAAATAATTTATTAAATATAAATGAAATAAGTAGGCCCAAAGAACGAATATTTATTTGATAAAGTTCCTTCATTAAAGATTTTGAACAAGCACAACGTTAATCCAGTTATAAGGTAATTAAAATTAATGATAATTAATTGGAATTTTTAAATAATACTTAAGTTTTGCACCATCAACAACTTCACCTATTACTACAACTACTTGTATTATTAACAAAGCATGGAATTAATATGATAAAAAAGAATAAAGATCCATTCATGTTTTGTTCTGATTTAGCTATGAATAAAGTCTTAGTTCGATGAGCTTGATTTTGAAATTTTCTTCCGAATCTTCAAACAATCTGCTTACAGCAAATTTTTTCTCAATAAATGGATATCTACCTCCTGGTCCATTTAACTTTGTGAAGTCACCGCCTAGAGCCATCAAATTTTTAGTGTCTCTGTGAAAGAAAGATTCCTTATATTCCTTCTCCAGGTTCTATGTAATTTAAAGATAAATATATACTATTTAATGTAAGCTATCCGAATTTGTAGTTGTATTTGGGAAAAAATCTTTATTTAAATTTAAATACTCTTTTTAAAGTTAATTATCCTCCTATGTAATGATAAAAGAATATGTTTGCCATTATTATTTTAATTATTTAATTCGAAATATTCCATAATTTTGTTGTTAAAACATAAATAAAAGCATTATAATCATAATTAGCACCAATAATAAGTTATTTTTTATGAAATTATCATGAACTGAAATAAAAATGAGACAATTGTTCCTACTTTCCAAATTCGAAATGAAAATTTGATATCTCTTCTTTAATTTTCTTTTTAGAGAATATTCAGTATTTTGCATTATTGTATGTAATGTTATTGTTCAGATCTCTCAATTTATAAAATTTAACTGAATTCTTGAAGAAATAAGAACGATTATTTTTAAACTTTTCTTTATATTTTTCTAATTTTGAGCAGTAGCAGTCAAGCATAAAAATAAGATAATTTGAAAAAACTACCTACAAGTGATGCATTTTCAACACTCTTAATCATTTAAAATAATTCTTATATCAAATATCATTTAACTTGTTAGATTCTTTTAATAATTATCACTCCTTTTACATATCATTAAATGAAAAAACTGGTTTTACTTTAATTTAAAATTTCTAATCTGTCTCAAAGATGTCAGTAAAAGGTATAAAACAAGTTACAATTTCATAACAATTAAATTCTCAATTTTGATTAAATCTTATTTAAGTCGAAGCTGATTATATTCTAAACCTTTTAGCTATAATGTAAAATTCTAGAGAGAGTTTAAATAAAAATATTCTTAAATCTGTTGTTAGTTAAATTGCCTTTAATATCACTGTTAATATATTTTCTAATTATTTACTTTTTTATTTTTTGCTTATTCTTAATTTCTTAGAAGGAATAAAACTGATAATTGAGCTTATGAGATTATATTTCTTATTCTCAAGAATTAAAAAAATTGTGTGTAAAAAGATGGGATGTTATAATTTGATTTTAAGGTGTAAAGATAATTAATTTATTATTTAATATAGATGATTTAAACTATAATATCAATAAAAATGCATTAAAGAAAATACATATATAGAAAAATTAAGAAATACTTTATCCTAAATATTTAAAGAATATTTAATTTCAATTAATTCACTATTATTTCGTTATCATATCTTGAATAATAAACTTAATTGTTAATGCTTCCTTATTGTTCGGATTGATGCTTAAAGCTTTATTACAGATTTAAATGGCTTCCTCAAAACGATTTAACTGACATAACGCTAAGCCTAAATTGTATATAAAATAAAAACTAATTTACCTTTGTTAATTATCACTTCACAATCATTGGGATTGATATTCAAAGCCTAATCATATAATTAAATGGCTTTCTGAAATTAATTCATCTTAAATAAGGCTAAGCCTAAATATAAAATTAAAAATTCATTTACCTTTATTAATTATCACTTCAAAATCATTAGGATTGATATTTAAAATCTCATCATACAATTATATAGCTTCCTCAACACGATTTAACTAGTATAATGCTAAGCCTAAATTATATGTAATATAAAAAGCTCATCTACCTTTGTTATTAAGAGCTTCACAATTTTTAGGATTGATGCTTAAAATCTAATCATATAACTAAATAGCTTCCTCATCACGATTTATTTCACTTAAGGCAAGCCCTAAATTACATATAATATGCAAAACTCATTAACCTTTACTATTTAGAGCTCTACAATATGTAGGATTAATTTTTATAGCCTAATCATAAAACTAAATGGCTTCCTCAAAACGATTCAATTTACATAATGCATAACCTAAATTAAATAAAAAATGAAAAACATAGATACCTTTTTTATTAAGTGCCCCACAATAATTAGGATTAATGTTTAAAGCTTTATCATAGCATTATATGGCTTCCTCAACACGATTTATTTCACTTAAAGCTAAGCCTAAATTACATATAAAATAAAAACTCATTTACCTTTGTTAACTATCACTTCACAATCATTAGGATTGATATTCAAAACCAAATCATACAACTTTATGGCTTCTTCAAAACGAATTAACTTAAACAATGCGAAACCTAAGTAAATAAATAAGGTATAAAAACTTAATCACCTTTGTTACTTAATATTTCGCAAACATTTGGATTGATATTTAAAGCTTAATCGTAAAACTATATGGCTTCTTCAACACGATTTATCTCACTTAATGCTAAACCTAAATTAAATATAAAAAAAAATTCATATACCTTTATTATTGAGGGCAATATAATCTTTAGGATTAACATTTAAAGCTTTATCATAAAAATTTATGGCTTCCTCAAAACGATTCAATTTATATAATGCTAAGCCTAAATTAAAAATAGAATGTAAAAATATAATACCTGTATTATTAAGAGCGCTACAATAATTAGGATTGATAGTTAAAACTTTATTATAGAACTAAATGGCTTCCTCAAACCGATTCAAATTGCATAACGTTAAGCCTACATGATACATAAAATGAAAACTCTATTACCTTCATTAGCTAGCTCTTCAAAATTTTCTGGATTGAATTTTTAAGCTTAATCATATTATTATATGTCCTCTTCAGCATGATTTAAATTTTGTAATGAATTGCCTTTGTTTTAATTTTTAAATACCTGAATTAATATCAGCTTTTAAAGAGTCAGGCTAGTATTTTGATGCTTCTTATTCTTATTCTTTACCAAGTAATTGTCTCTCTATAATTTGTTTTCTTTTCTATTCATCTTTTAATTATTATTCTTATCCTTTCTATTTTTTCTGAATTTCACTATGTTCCTGTAAATTGAATGCCTTCATAATTTAATTTATTAAAAATTTAAGATTTGATCATCATTTGATAATTGCATATAAAGAATTAGTAAATTAGAAAATAAATTTTAATGTAAATTAAGGAAATTTAATTAAGTTTATATCTAATACCAAAAACTATTAGACAACTTTTTGAAATTAGATCATGACCAAAAAAAAATAAACATTCGGCCTCCTAGCTTGATTTCCTTATTTCCTCCTCAGGATATTTTTGATGTAACAACTATAAATTAAATCTAAGTGTTATCATATTCTGTCTTAATGAATTAATTTATTGATGCTTGAATTAATATTTATAAATAATATTTAAGTTTGGCAAGAATAGAAATTTATTCTTTATTTTTTAAATAAAGCCTTTTGAAAGAGTATTTTATAAAATAAATTTTCTAAATCTCTTAAAATCTTTTTTATTAGAATTTTTAAATGAATTATTATTAAGTATTTTGATGCCATAATGAAGAAACAAAAAAAGACTATTTTGGATTTTATTTCTTAATAGTTTGCATTATTATCCCAGGCTTAAATTTTAAATTTTGATGTTATCATAGTGATTATATTTAACAAGATATTAGATTTACTGTTCAAATTTTTTATTCTTCCAATTAGATTTTTTTGATTCCTTCTTTCTTATTAAATATTGTTGAAAAATTAGTAAATCCTTGTTTATATTTAGCTTCAAAATCTTTAAATTTGAAGATTCTCTTTTGGTCTAATTATTAGATAAATTAATAATAAACAAATATTTTTGAGAGATCNCACCTTTGTTACTTAATATTTCGCAAACATTTGGATTGATATTTAAAGCTTAATCGTAAAACTATATGGCTTCTTCAACACGATTTATCTCACTTAATGCTAAACCTAAATTAAATATAAAAAAAAATTCATATACCTTTATTATTGAGGGCAATATAATCTTTAGGATTAACATTTAAAGCTTTATCATAAAAATTTATGGCTTCCTCAAAACGATTCAATTTATATAATGCTAAGCCTAAATTAAAAATAGAATGTAAAAATATAATACCTGTATTATTAAGAGCGCTACAATAATTAGGATTGATAGTTAAAACTTTATTATAGAACTAAATGGCTTCCTCAAACCGATTCAAATTGCATAACGTTAAGCCTACATGATACATAAAATGAAAACTCTATTACCTTCATTAGCTAGCTCTTCAAAATTTTCTGGATTGAATTTTTAAGCTTAATCATATTATTATATGTCCTCTTCAGCATGATTTAAATTTTGTAATGAATTGCCTTTGTTTTAATTTTTAAATACCTGAATTAATATCAGCTTTTAAAGAGTCAGGCTAGTATTTTGATGCTTCTTATTCTTATTCTTTACCAAGTAATTGTCTCTCTATAATTTGTTTTCTTTTCTATTCATCTTTTAATTATTATTCTTATCCTTTCTATTTTTTCTGAATTTCACTATGTTCCTGTAAATTGAATGCCTTCATAATTTAATTTATTAAAAATTTAAGATTTGATCATCATTTGATAATTGCATATAAAGAATTAGTAAATTAGAAAATAAATTTTAATGTAAATTAAGGAAATTTAATTAAGTTTATATCTAATACCAAAAACTATTAGACAACTTTTTGAAATTAGATCATGACCAAAAAAAAATAAACATTCGGCCTCCTAGCTTGATTTCCTTATTTCCTCCTCAGGATATTTTTGATGTAACAACTATAAATTAAATCTAAGTGTTATCATATTCTGTCTTAATGAATTAATTTATTGATGCTTGAATTAATATTTATAAATAATATTTAAGTTTGGCAAGAATAGAAATTTATTCTTTATTTTTTAAATAAAGCCTTTTGAAAGAGTATTTTATAAAATAAATTTTCTAAATCTCTTAAAATCTTTTTTATTAGAATTTTTAAATGAATTATTATTAAGTATTTTGATGCCATAATGAAGAAACAAAAAAAGACTATTTTGGATTTTATTTCTTAATAGTTTGCATTATTATCCCAGGCTTAAATTTTAAATTTTGATGTTATCATAGTGATTATATTTAACAAGATATTAGATTTACTGTTCAAATTTTTTATTCTTCCAATTAGATTTTTTTGATTCCTTCTTTCTTATTAAATACCTTAATAAATATCAAAATTATTCAGATATTAATAATATTAATGAAATGGTAAGAGTAACCTTTTATTATAAAGGACTCTACAGCATTTTTATGTGTAAAAATGGAATATTTTAAGAAATAGTAGTTGATGATGATAGTCCATGTCATGTTTAAGGAGGTCCAATATTTTCAAGAGCCAATGGAAATAACCTTTGGATGGTTCTTTTAGAAAAGGTTTATGCTAAAATATATGGATCTTACAGGTATTTTAGTGGAGATTTTAAAATTTTATAGGGAGATCAATATTAGAATATTGTTTACAATTTAAGAATGGCAAAGATAGTAATTAATTGAATGTACTATAAAATTGAATCAGGTTTGGTAAGTTATGCATTAAAGGATTTAACTGGAGCACCATGTGAATATTTTATCAGAGTAGGGAAAATGATAAAAGCGGCTGATTAATGTTGTGATTTCATCGAAAAAAATAATAAATTAAATTACAATTTTGGCAGCATCTTCAGAAATAACTAATTAATAAATTGAATAAGATAATGAAGATGGAATAGTAACTTAGCAAAGCTATTAAATTTTAGATGAATAAAGAGTTACTGCACCAAGATAGAATTATCAAGATCAGAAATGTAAAAATATATATATATAATAAGTTTGTATAATTTTGGGGTAGAAATAATTTGACAAGAGACTGGAATGATAATTCTGAGAAATAAACAGATGAATTAAAATAGAGATTGCAAGTTTCTTATTAAGATAATTGAGATTTCTGGATGAAAGTTAAAGATTTTATGATGAGTTCGGTTAAGTTTGTGTTTGCAAATTTTAACCAGATTATATATACACAGATATACCTCGGTAGGTTGAAAAATCAGAGATTATTACTACAAAGGGGATTATAATGAGAGTTTATGAGTAATCTTATGTATTTATTTCTTTAACTCAATAAGATTTGGGCTTTTTCTAAAAAAGTCATTAAGACTCTTTGGCTAGATTGATAATAGGATAATTAGATAATAGTACAAAGGAGATATTAAATTATTCAGGTTCTGTTTATGATGTTGAGAGGGATATGGTTGTTGAAAATGAATTTGAACCTGGATTTTACCTATTAAATGTTGAAGTAGATTGGTCCTAGAACTATAATCGATATTTAGCAGTTTCTTGTTATGTTTCTAAATCAGTTTAATTTTCTGAATTGTAGTTTGAATCAGGTCAAAGAAAACAAATAATTGATAATATTTTTAAGAGCATATGTCAGATGCACCAAATTAAAATAAAAATGTTGAATAATAACACAGATGATAAATAAATTATTTATAGCAAACCTTTTCACAATCCTTTTGTATTAAATATCTAAAATATCTATACTGCTTCTGATACCCTCAAAAACAAATTTTTTAATACCTTTAATTAAATCAATAAATCAGTAATGAAGATTTAAAAAGATAATAAAAAATTTATGATCCATACTCTGACAGAAATAAAATATGTTTCAGAGAGTTTTTTTATTTATTTTAAGGGAAATTATGAAATAAAATCAAATTTTGAGATTTAAAATTGAATATATTGCATGTCGGAATAAAAATATTCAAAACTTTCAATCAATTTTTATTCGATAGTAAGATTTTAAGTTTGGAAGTGAATTAATAGGGAGAGTTTTATATTTAGCTAATTAGAATTAAACAATATTGATAAATCGAGATAATTTTGAAAAAAAAAGAAAATAAAAGAAAATTAGGAATTTATTAAGAATCTTGAATTATAAATACTAATTTTTTGACTTAATATTGTTTGAAAGCTGAAGATAAGTCTATATATAGAAATATTCAAGATAATGAGAATCAAAAAGAGAGAGAAGCATTTTATTTAAAGAANAATATATATATATAATAAGTTTGTATAATTTTGGGGTAGAAATAATTTGACAAGAGACTGGAATGATAATTCTGAGAAATAAACAGATGAATTAAAATAGAGATTGCAAGTTTCTTATTAAGATAATTGAGATTTCTGGATGAAAGTTAAAGATTTTATGATGAGTTCGGTTAAGTTTGTGTTTGCAAATTTTAACCAGATTATATATACACAGATATACCTCGGTAGGTTGAAAAATCAGAGATTATTACTACAAAGGGGATTATAATGAGAGTTTATGAGTAATCTTATGTATTTATTTCTTTAACTCAATAAGATTTGGGCTTTTTCTAAAAAAGTCATTAAGACTCTTTGGCTAGATTGATAATAGGATAATTAGATAATAGTACAAAGGAGATATTAAATTATTCAGGTTCTGTTTATGATGTTGAGAGGGATATGGTTGTTGAAAATGAATTTGAACCTGGATTTTACCTATTAAATGTTGAAGTAGATTGGTCCTAGAACTATAATCGATATTTAGCAGTTTCTTGTTATGTTTCTAAATCAGTTTAATTTTCTGAATTGTAGTTTGAATCAGGTCAAAGAAAACAAATAATTGATAATATTTTTAAGAGCATATGTCAGATGCACCAAATTAAAATAAAAATGTTGAATAATAACACAGATGATAAATAAATTATTTATAGCAAACCTTTTCACAATCCTTTTGTATTAAATATCTAAAATATCTATACTGCTTCTGATACCCTCAAAAACAAATTTTTTAATACCTTTAATTAAATCAATAAATCAGTAATGAAGATTTAAAAAGATAATAAAAAATTTATGATCCATACTCTGACAGAAATAAAATATGTTTCAGAGAGTTTTTTTATTTATTTTAAGGGAAATTATGAAATAAAATCAAATTTTGAGATTTAAAATTGAATATATTTGCATGTCGGAATAAAAATATTCAAAACTTTCAATCAATTTTTATTCGATAGTAAGATTTTAAGTTTGGAAGTGAATTAATAGTATTTATAGGGAGAGTTTTATATTTAGCTAATTAGAATTAAACAATATTGATAAATCGAGATAATTTTGAAAAAAAAAGAAAATAAAAGAAAATTAGGAATTTATTAAGAATCTTGAATTATAAATACTAATTTTTTGACTTAATATTGTTTGAAAGCTGAAGATAAGTCTATATATAGAAATATTCAAGATAATGAGAATCAAAAAGAGAGAGAAGCATTTTATTTAAAGAAATATTGTTATTTTAGAAAACTTAAATATTAAAACATTTATAATGCTAGTTCTGTAGAAATTAAATTCAAGTTTGTATTAATTTTTATCAACAAGTCTGAAGATCGACTAAATTTATTTGAAATTAAGTAATTTCTGTATTCGTAAATTTTTCATTTGCAAATTAGAAAAAATATTGCTAAACTAAAAGTTTACACCCTTGACAATTAAATTCTTAATAAAACAAAAGTGAATCAATATTGGCCAATTTTAAAAATAAAGCAGTGAATAGGATTTTAATATTTATCAGTTAAATTAAAAGTTTAAAGACTTCTAAATGTGCAATATTCAAGCAATTTAATTATAAAAATAATAATTTAAGAAGGCCTTATTTATCATTGAAATTTGAAAATACCTTAAACTATTAATTTTTGATAATTAGAAAGTATCCTTATCATTTTTTGACAGAACTCCTCGAAAATATCTGAGCATATCGATTAATCAGACTTGTTTTACTCTCCTAATACCTGAAAAGTAAATTAACGTTCAATCAATTATTAAACTTCCTAATTTTTGCTACTTCAATTTTTTCCGAAAATAAACAATTAAAACAACTTTTATAATTTAATAAATAAATTTAAATCAATTAATTTAAAATAAAAATTTATTAAAAAAATAGTATTCAAATAAAAAGTGCTCCTGATTCTCCTTGATTTTCTTATTTCATGGTGCGGCAACAAAATTGCCTTAATTTGATCAGCCTGGTCTTCATCTGTTAAAAAATATCGATAATTAAAGAGAATGTTAGGATAGCTGAAAATGAAGATATGTGAAGCCATCCTAAATTTATATTAGAGTCTTAGGTCAATCCAACATCTGTAAAATAGTCATAAAGAATAAATGTGATTGTGTTGAATATTACAATGGACTCTGTTATAAGAATTTTGCAGTATTCATAGTGACTCTGTAAAGGTTTATTGACAATAAGATAAAAAAGAAATAAAGTTTAATTTGTTGCAATAAGGAGAGTTTAAAGTTTTCCTTCTTTTTACATAAATACAATTATACTTATAAAAGCAAATTTCTTGATTAATAAAATTGCATTATATTATGTGTTCCAGAAATTTTTCTAATCTTAAATTCCTTCAAATAAAGATTCATATTATTTCTTCACCTTTAATGTATTTAACCTAAAAAATTTTTGCAAAATATCAAAAATATAAATTGAAATGCCTAAATATGATACAAATACGATAAGGGAAAGATACGAATTTATTGACTCACTTATATTATTATTTTAAAAATAAGCAAGTTATATTGTCATTGCAAAAGAAATATCGTAAGCATTTGACATGATAATTCTCAATATGCCATTATAATAAAAGTCTTCACAAGATTTATAACATTTTTTTCTAAGAAAATAAAATCCTTTTGAAATTATTAGGTTCATTTTTGGTAATAAATATGGTTACAGTTGGTATAAGAACAAATAGGTAATTTTAAAAAAATAGTATCCTAAATATGCAGATCCCAAAAAAAATATAAAACTTTTAAAATTATCAAGAAATCTTATGTTAATATCATCAATTACAAATTTATGATCAGTAAGAATTTGATTATTCTGAAATTGCAAAATAAGATTAAGCAAATTATCTATTCCTAAAGCTTAAATTACAGGCTCAATACTAATTAATTTAAATACTTCAAAATATATATTAAGATTTTCAGGAAATCTAATATTTACATATTTGATGTATGATAAATACTATAATTGATCCATCAGATTCCAAAATACTTCAGAAGAACCTGTTATTATACAAAGGCTAGATAAGCTAATTAGAAAATAAATAACTGCTTAATTATAGGCTACAGTATTTTAAGCTATAATTATCTAAGTTTCGCTTAGAACTGAAGGTTTAAACAATTAAACTGTTTTAGTTAACTATAAAAGAGGCAAATTGTATTCTGAAACAAAAGAGTCATTCTTGAATTCTATTTTCAAATAGGGTCTCTCTATTGAAACATAAAATTTCACCTCCACAAGAATAGTAATATCGCTTATATATTCTCTTGGTTCCTACTTAATCAACTATTAGACAATGTCATATTGAGAATCTTGCATGTCTATAATACTAATAAGAATAAGCGAAGACATTTTATTTTGATCCTCTCCTCCATAATATTTCATCTTCTAGTTAAATGTTATTTAAACATTTTAACAATTTCCAGCTTAGATTGAAAGAAGTTTGATATTAAATTAAGGTTATTTAGAATACGCACATAATGAAAACTAATCTTCTCTATTTAAGCATAAGTAATTTGCTTCTATTTTACAATTTTTGTCACATCCATCCTCATTTTCATAATTTCCATCATCGCATAGCTCAACTGATTTTACGTAAGCTCCATCTCCACATTAAGAAGAACAAACATTCTAAATTAGATTTCTTCCGAATTCGCACTTTTCACAAATTCCTTATTAACAATCTATACAATATTCATCACAAGCATATTGGCATTAATGACAACCGTCGTTTTAATTTTCATTCATATCGTCACATTATTCACTACCTATGATTATTCCATCTCCACAAAATGGTTTACAGTTATGATTATCAATCACCCAACCATAATTGTCACAATCATAACAAATACCTTATTAGCAAAGAATGCACATTTCAGAACATTAAAATTAACATTAATGACATCCATCATACTAAATATTATTACCATCATCGCATTCCTCTAAATCATGAACAACTATTCCATCTCCACAAATTGTTTTACAGTGATGATCAATTAAATGCCAACCATCTCCTCTACATTCACAATAATTATTATTTAAATACCAACCATCTCCTCCACACGCATAACATATTCCAAATCTACAATCTGTACATACAACTTAACATTAAAATTTGCATTCGAAACATCCATCATAAGGAATCTCATTCCTATCATCACAATCTTCATCAATAGATTTTATACCATCCCCACAAAAAGTCTGGCATTTGTTATTAAATATGTCAATTTACGTGTAACCTGAAGTCTAATCACATTATAAACATTAGCCCAAAACACAATGTATGCAAAATTAAGTACAATCAAACATATTTTAAAAGCAACCATCTATCCCTATCAAATTCTAATCATCACATTATTCTACTCCAACTAAGAGTCCATCTAAGTTTTTTTCTATGCAAATATTATTAATCAATTCAAATCCAGATCTACACTTTTAACATATTCCATACAAACCTTACTAACATGAAATTTGATATTAAAATTATGATAAAAAACATCCATCGTTTTAAATATTGTTGCCATCATCACATTATTCGTTTCCTACTACTAATTTATCCCCATCAATTGGATAACAATAATTTTCAATTGGGTTTAGAATCCATCCTGTTTTACATTAATAACACAATCCATTGTAGCAATTAGAGCAAGAGTCTTAACATTAGTAGAGACATTAAAAACAAAAACGTTAATTAAACAGATTATCATGTAAATTCTTTTCATCGCATTATTTAAATTACATAGCAATTATACCATCTCCACAAATAGTTTAGCAAGTTTAATCTTAAAGATACCATCCATCCGACTCATCGCATTTTATGCATTTGTTAAATTAGCAATCGATGCAGTGATTTGAACATTAAAATTTACAATTATAACATCCATCATTTGAATTCGAGTTACTATCTTCACATTCCTCTATTTTCACTAAAAGATTATCACCGCAAACGGCAACACAATTATTTTGTATAATTTAGAATCCTTATTGGCAATCGAAACAAATTCCAAATATACATTCTTTGCAAGCATTATCACAACTAAATTTACAATTGTGACATCCATCATATGGATTATAATTACCATCATCACAATCCTCTCCATTAACAATTAAAAGATCACCACAAATTGGAAGACAAATTAAATTATATCCATCATCATAGAAACCAGGCTTACATAAACATTCATTATTCGATAAAGTTCTATGCAAATCAGTAACACATGTTTAACAGTTAGTTTTCAAAACTCCTGTGCAAGTTTCACAATATTTATGGCATTAAATTGATGAAATAGAAGGAGATGGATTAATTGATAAGCAAACACCATTAATTAAAGTATTATATTAACTTGAAGAATCACAGGATATGCATTCTTCCAAATTTTTGCAAGCTAAACATCCAGGTTAATTGCATGAAATACAACTATAAGTTTCTGATAAAGAATCAAAATATAAATATTAATTCGTATCGCAATTTTAATTTGTGTGTCCAGATTCCCAGGTATCACATGAAACCCCATTATTACAAACTTGGCAGAAGGGGAGACACTAAAAATAAGATCAAAATATTTACATAATGTACAACTATAAAGTAATCAGAAATTGCACAAAATTAGTTTTTTGGATTTAAAACTACATCTGTACATTCGAAATCAATATTTAATGAAGATGAGTTAAATGGATTTTAATAAATTTCAAAATATTTTGTTATTTCTTTTAAATTCCTACCAATAAAGTTTTAACCACTTGAGTTAGGTTTTGGATGTGCAATAGATTTCGCTCCTTAAATGGTGTAATAAAAATTTCCACTATATTCGTCTCCATATGTAAGATTAAATCTAATCGTAATGGCATAGTGAGGTTTTGATATACTCCATGATTTTTAATATATTGCATTATTCCAGACTACTACGCCACCTAAAACAAATTTTGTTGGAAATATAGAAAATTTCTACCCTGTCATCAAATTAGTACCATTTGTAATAACTAGATCATAGAATTTATTGATATCTGAAGTAGTCATATTTAAATTATAAAATCCTTTTGCTAAGTATCGAGAGTCTAAAATAAATAATTTAAATTACTTGGAATCATATCAGCATAATCAACACAATCATCAGAATGGGCTGGACAAGAACTGACACAACCATTTTAAAATAAAAAATAACCGCTATTACATTATTAACATATGGAAAAATCAGAACAAATTGCACAATTTTCTTAACAATACCCACTATCAATTGTTATATTTCTGAATCCCCATATCGAAGTTGCTTATGTTAACTATGCTCCTTTTAAAATTAGTTTAGAACTATCAGAGAAAGTTCGAAGAATTGCTTCTATTCTGATTAAATCATAAGTAGAGCAATTAGTACTTGAACTTTAAATTTTTTTTACATTAACGAAAGTATACTAAGAGGCAGCTTTGATTATTTCACCTTATATTTAGTCGTCCAACAATATTTATATTTTATTATTAGTCTAAAAGTTCTTAATGTAAAATGTGATCCTGAGTCTAATAAATTTTAAGGATTGTGAATTTCCAAATTATAAACTCATTTCCTCATTAAAAAGTAAACTTCCAACATAACTAGTAGAGGAACAAGTATGAATTAACAATGGAGAATTTCTGATATTTGCAGAGTCTTGAATGAATAAAAAAGGAGAATAAGTATTAAAAGTTGCAGATTCAAAATATGAAATATTTGATTTAATTCTTCTATCTGGAACACAAATATTGTCTGCTCTTGCTATAAAATAATCTCTTGCACATTCTTATCTACATCCTATTCCAGTTTAAGCAAATTAATGAGAAGGGTCACAACCACAAGATCCCCCAATTTATATTGTACCATAATAGCATGTTAGACAACTAGTAGAACTTGAACAGGTTTTGCATGTTGGCTAACAGTATAAGACGTACACAAACAAATTTAAAATTCCAAGAATTTATTTATCATCTGGTTCAATACCNATATTTACATAATGTACAACTATAAAGTAATCAGAAATTGCACAAAATTAGTTTTTTGGATTTAAAACTACATCTGTACATTCGAAATCAATATTTAATGAAGATGAGTTAAATGGATTTTAATAAATTTCAAAATATTTTGTTATTTCTTTTAAATTCCTACCAATAAAGTTTTAACCACTTGAGTTAGGTTTTGGATGTGCAATAGATTTCGCTCCTTAAATGGTGTAATAAAAATTTCCACTATATTCGTCTCCATATGTAAGATTAAATCTAATCGTAATGGCATAGTGAGGTTTTGATATACTCCATGATTTTTAATATATTGCATTATTCCAGACTACTACGCCACCTAAAACAAATTTTGTTGGAAATATAGAAAATTTCTACCCTGTCATCAAATTAGTACCATTTGTAATAACTAGATCATAGAATTTATTGATATCTGAAGTAGTCATATTTAAATTATAAAATCCTTTTGCTAAGTATCGAGAGTCTAAAATAAATAATTTAAATTACTTGGAATCATATCAGCATAATCAACACAATCATCAGAATGGGCTGGACAAGAACTGACACAACCATTTTAAAATAAAAAATAACCGCTATTACATTATTAACATATGGAAAAATCAGAACAAATTGCACAATTTTCTTAACAATACCCACTATCAATTGTTATATTTCTGAATCCCCATATCGAAGTTGCTTATGTTAACTATGCTCCTTTTAAAATTAGTTTAGAACTATCAGAGAAAGTTCGAAGAATTGCTTCTATTCTGATTAAATCATAAGTAGAGCAATTAGTACTTGAACTTTAAATTTTTTTTACATTAACGAAAGTATACTAAGAGGCAGCTTTGATTATTTCACCTTATATTTAGTCGTCCAACAATATTTATATTTTATTATTAGTCTAAAAGTTCTTAATGTAAAATGTGATCCTGAGTCTAATAAATTTTAAGGATTGTGAATTTCCAAATTATAAACTCATTTCCTCATTAAAAAGTAAACTTCCAACATAACTAGTAGAGGAACAAGTATGAATTAACAATGGAGAATTTCTGATATTTGCAGAGTCTTGAATGAATAAAAAAGGAGAATAAGTATTAAAAGTTGCAGATTCAAAATATGAAATATTTGATTTAATTCTTCTATCTGGAACACAAATATTGTCTGCTCTTGCTATAAAATAATCTCTTGCACATTCTTATCTACATCCTATTCCAGTTTAAGCAAATTAATGAGAAGGGTCACAACCACAAGATCCCCCAATTTATATTGTACCATAATAGCATGTTAGACAACTAGTAGAACTTGAACAGGTTTTGCATGTTGGCTAACAGTATAAGACGTACACAAACAAATTTAAAATTCCAAGAATTTATTTATCATCTGGTTCAATACCTATTGGTGATGTACCTACTATTGTCTTGAAATCAAAATACTAAGTTGATGAACTATTGCATATTATTCTTGCATTCTAATCTAAATTACCGTTAGAATAGTATCTTTAAAACATAATATTTTGGGAAACTGAACTTTTGTTAAGTTCAATGTGAAGAGAGCTGCTTTATCATATGGAGTTTCAGCATTATCAAAAAATATATCAACTATAACTTATTACCTGTAACTTTTTTTTTCAAAAATCTTATCCATTCTTCTATTATTGTTTTTATCAAGACGTGCATAACTGATTTGATTTTGATTACATGTATAAAGATCATGAGTTCCACCAGATTCAAAATAGGAGCATTCTTTAGAAATCTCCCACTCGTTATAAGATGAAAATCCTCTCAAAAAACTTGAGTCAACCAACACCCAATCCATTTGGGCTCGGCAAACTTAGATTGCTGCTGACATAATCAAAAACATCATTTTTAATAATTTATAAATAAAGTGTGAATTATATTGTTGCGAAAATAAAAATTTCAGTCAAATCATAGGATAAATAAAATCCATATCATAATTTTCCTTTACTAATATTTTTTAGTAGATATAAAAGCATTTAATAGTTGATATGCTTACTTAATAGATATATTTATTTAAATATAGAATGAAGTTGGCTTTAATAAAACATTTTTAATTAGGTATTTAAAATTCTATTATTTCATTTTCAATTTGGCTTCGATTTAAAATAATAATATAATAAACAAGAATTAATTTTTAAAATATTTGGGTAATATTAAATAGTGATATTTGGTTTAGATGAAATAATTTTCAGACAGTAAGAAAATTTTATGTAATAAAATGAAGAAAAACCTTTTTCTGCAAAACAAAATAAAAAACACCTAGTTCTTTGAAAAAGGTAACGAGAATTTCATATCAAATAGTTCCAGAAATTTAAGAACTTAGTATAATAATCATTATATTATTTTAATATATAAAAAGAGAAAATTTGTAAGTTTGATAAATAATCCTAATTATCACAACTAAAATAATTCCCATATTATAAAATTCAATAAATTGTCTATCTCAATGTAAAATTGAATACATCTTAGTATTAAAATTAAATATTGAAAATACTGAATTATATTTGATTAATTAAGCTGCTATGATAAATTATACAAGTTTACAAGATGGCAGTCCTTTTTTATACAGACATTAGAAAGAAATAATTTAAAAACAGACCTAATATTACTGAAATTAAGATTTATATAAATCTATTTATATATAAATTAAGTAAATAAAGCCTGTTACCGTTTTCTTAAGATTTTAGTAAAATATAATATTAACAAGAATCTTCTTTATGATTATTTAATTTACAAATATATTTAACTAGAGGAAAAATAGCACATCGAGAAACTAATAAAACTAATAAATTATTTTTAAAGATAAATACTTAAATTAAAGCACTAATTAAACATAAAATTAAAATTAAATCATAATAGTAACTCTGCTTATGGATCTGATCAAAAATAATATCATCAGAAATTTGATATGAATTGATAGAAAAAACTCATTTATAAAATAAATAATTTTTTTAATATTTTAAACGAAAACTAAAGATAATTAATCTTTAATTCACTTGACAGCATAAATATCTCCACTAACAGATACAAGAGCATTATCACTTCTGTTAAATTATTCAATATATTTAGTTTTAGATTAGCTTAAGACAGGTTATTCATAAAATTAGAGATTCAAGGAAATTTTTAAAAGAAGGAAGCTTAAAAGATTTAGTAAATTGTATTTTTTTCTGAAATAGCTAATTTCTGTTTAAATTTCTATAAGCGTAAATGAACCAAATATTATTTCAATTAAATTGGGCGTTATATTTAAGAAGAAATTCTAGCAATTTTCATATTGAAGATACATTAATTTAGGTAGCTTCTTCTTATGGGAAATTATAAACCATTTCGATGTTCCTCAAAACAAAGTAATTCTATGATAGTTTTTTTTAGTATTAAATATAAATAGCGTGTTATATATAATTATTTATAACTGGTACAAAGTTAAAGATTTTAGTTTTTACTCTGGTGTTTTTTTAGTTTTCTATTTAGAAAATTGGTAAAATTATAAAATCTATGGAAATGAATGGAAATAAAAATTACTGAGATATGATAGATAAAGTTACACAATTAATCTTCTTGGTTTTTATATTAAAGTTGCTTGTTTTATGTGTAGAGAACTTTAAAATATCCCTTTTTGATATTTTTAAGTTCATTTTGGAAGAAGTTTTTAACTAGCACGATTTCCATTTTCCCTCTATTTCCTTTTCTTGATTTCAGATTAGTGATATCTGGAGCTATTGTAAGTTTCAACTTATGTTTTCATTTTTGTAAAGTCTAAAAATACCTATACTTTACTTATATAATTATATGTATTGCTTTTAGATTTTCACTTTGCAAACATTTAGTATAAATTTAGTTTTGTTTACTCCATACCAATAAATACTTTACTATTATCAATATCCAAGGAACCTGTATAAAATATGTATTTGTGCCTAAGTTTCATATAGCAATGAAAAAAGGATAGTTATTATGATGTTCTTAAAATGCTGAACTAGTGGTTATGTTTTAACAGAAAGTTTTTCATGTACATAATGTTCAGGATGTACAGATTGTA